CATCAAGTGGACCAATATACACTGTGGAAGTTTCAGTTGAAGAAAGAGGCAGAGAGATTATCTGAAGAAATTATAGCCAAAAACTTACCAAGTTTGATGAAAGACATAAATACAAACATTCTGGAAGCAACCAACACCAGGTAGGATGAGCTCAAAGGGACCCATACTAAAAACAACAAACACAACCCTAAAAACACCAAAACCAAAAACAAAAACAAAAACAAAAACTACAACACAAAAACCCAAGAAAAAACCCAGGCATGGTGGCACACGCCTGCAACCCAGCCTTTAGGAGTGAGGGAGGAGGGCTGCTGTGAGTTTGAGGCCAGCTTGGACTGCACAGTCACTTCAAGGCCAGCCTGAACTGCATAGGGAGACCTTGTCTCAAAAAGACCAACACCAAAAACCCAAAACCCAAGAGACCCATACCCAGACTCATTATCAAACTGTCAAAAGACAAAGACAAAAAGATTTCTGAAAGCAGCAAGAGAGAAATGGCTCATTAATCACCAGGGATTCTGATTGCAATTATCATCAGGTTTTTCATCAGAAACTTTGGAGGCTACAGACAATGGAATAATATATTTCAAGTGCTGCTAGAAGAAAGAAAAAAACCTGCCAATATTCAACAAAACTATCCTTCAAAAGCAATGGAAAGAAGCCAGACCTGGAAGTACATGCCTATAATCCCAGCACTCGGGTGCTGATGCAGGAGGATCACAAGTTTGAGCCCAGCCTGGGCAACTTAGTGAGACCCTGTCTCAAACAAATCCTGGGGACAGGGGGCTGGGGATTTAGCTCAGCGGCAAAGCGCCTGCCTGGCAAGCGCAAGGTCGTGAGTTCGGTTCCCGGTACTGGAGAAAAACCAAAAAAAAAAAAAAAAAAAAAATCCTGGGGACATAGTTCAGCATGAAGGGTCTGAGTTAATTGCCAATACTGCTAAAGAAAACAAAACAAAACATAATCGAACAACTAAGGGTAACATCAAGCACTGTGACATTCATCGGTAACAACAGCTGGGTGAGTTTGTTACTATTCTACCTCCTGGGCAAGAAACAGTCCAGAGAGTCCTGCAAGGTGAAGTGAAAGGACACCAAACGCTTGAAGCTCTATGAAGAAAGGAAGATCTTAATAAAGGTCCTACACGGGCAATTGTAGAAGTTACTATTGCAACCATGGTTTATAACTCCATTTTTGCTTTGTGTGTAACTTAAAAGACTGTGTAAAAATCTTACATTTTTGGGTCAACAATACCTAAGGGTTACGTATAAGAATATAATCTGTGGGCCACCAACTGGCCCGAGTTGAGACAGAGCTGTGAGGACCACAGCTCTCGTATGTTAGTAAAGTTAGACAAGCATAAACTCAACATTGGGTGTTACAACCCGGAACATTAAATGTAACCCCCACAGTAACTACAACACAAATATACACAAAAGAAAGCGATACAGGAATTTAAACATTTCACTGCGAAAATACAACCATGAATGCAGCAAAGGAGCAGGACACACAGGCCATAAAAATCAGCTCCATTTCCATCAGGTAACAATGAACAATCTGGAGAAGTGACCGAAGCAATCTCACTTAATGTGCCATGAAGAAAGACTGAAATGCAGAGGAATAACTTCACCAAGAAAGTGAAAAACTTATACACCGACAGCTACAAGCACGGTTGGACAAAACTTTAGACATAAGTGAACAGAAACATAGCCAAGTGTTTATGGATTGGAAGACAGCACTGTTGAAGTGTAAAATAGTACAGCCACTGTGGCAAACAGGATAGAGGGTCCCCAAAACCTGAACATCGGCTAGCTATGTTCTAACAGTTCAGTTTCTTAGTATGAAACTGAAAACAGGCTCCTGAAAAGCTATTTATACGCCTATATTTATAGCAGCATTATTCACAATGGCTTACAACATAGAAGCAGCCCACGTGCCCATCGGTGGAGAAACTGACAAGCAAAATGTGACAAATACATACACTGAAATATTAATCACCCTTTAAAAGAAAGAAAATTCTGACATACACTCCAACATGCCTGAATCTTATGCACATTACATTAAGTGAAATAAGTCAGCCACAAAAAGCTAAGTACTATGTGATTTATGATTCTAGGTTATACAGAGTATGTAGAACACTGTAGTCAAATTTCTAGGTCAATGGATGCACCTAGAGATCATTCTTTACCCAAGTGAAATAAACTGGACACACACGTGTCAAAATCACAGTGACAGACCTAAGAATGGAAGCTGCAGGGGCTGAGAAGCTACTGCCTGACAGGTACAGAGCTCCAGGTTTACCAGATGGAGTTATGGAGAGGGAGCTTCAGCACCAAGAATACATTTAATACAACTGGACTTCATGCTTTAAAGTGAGTGACAGTAAATTTTATACACATTTTTAGCACAACAAAAATTAGAAACAAAAAAGAATCATAGTGCTAATCTTAGAAATCATACTCTTAACTGGTTTATAGACTGAAAGAAAAATCTAGAGCTTAAAGACTTTTCAAAGTTACAATCAATTTTGGCTGGACCCACACTAGAACTCAACCAGTTCCTCTGATTATAAAGGTTGTGCTTTCCATTGTAACATACTTTTTTGTTAATCTACATGAAACATTGAAATAAGTACACAAATATACTACAGTAATGCTGTTATATCATTTCACATAGTATTGCAATATGCTTTTCCTCAGAATGTTACAAAAGAAACACTGAATTATTAGACTTTTCCTTACCAATGTCAACTGATATGTATCACTTCTTCTCTCCTCTCTCCCTCCGCTCCCCTCCCCTCCCCTTTCCTTCCTTTCCCTTCTGAAGACAGGGCCTTGCTAGGTAGTTCAGGCTGGTCTTGAACTCATTAGATAGCCCAGGCTGACCTTGAACTTGTAGCAATTCTGCCTCAGCATCTCAGGAGCTGGGATTACAGTCTGTCCCACCATGCCCTGCTACATTTATCACTTTGCAAACAAAAGTCTATAGTTTGACACCTTATCTACACTGGGAAACTTTTCCATGGAGTTTTATCATACTTGAGATATGTTTTCTATATTTATTCATTTGGAAATGTTAATATGCTAGAACAAATATCAAATGCTAGTGCCTGGTCTATGGAGACATTTACATTAAGTATACAATAAGGCCACTAATGTAATAAGATTATTTTAAAAAAACTCTTAAAACTGACAATATTAAATAAAGTCACTAATCTTTACAATATAGTATTACTACAGTGTAAAATATCATTAAGAATAAAGACAGTTTAATCACTGTATAGAGCTTACTGATCCACTATAAATTGAGTTTATTGACAAAACAGTTTAAAGCATTATTTGCAGCTATACTAGTTTGTTTTGCAAATATTACACTAAGTATCACTTCTAAGAATTTAATTAGACTATCAAAAAGTTACTGAACATTTGTTGATTTTTTTTGAAATGAGTATTTCTCTGGTCAATAACAATGTAGACATCTATTACTTCTGATTCATAGGTGAGTTTTGTTTTCATGAAAACTGTTATCACTGTCATTAAGGAATGTTTTCCGAGATACTAAATGTGATGTAGCCCCATGGTTTGGCACTAACGATCATGCTGGTGATTGCTCAGATAATATACAGTAAGTTTTCCAAAAGTGAAGCCCATTCAGGTTGAAAAAAGCACTAAAGAATGAGATAAAGTCAGTTTTAATTCAAGGTTTAAATTAAATTAAATTCACAGGTTTAAATCCTGAGTTTTGTAATTTTGTAATCATTTTCATCTTTTTTCTAATCTTAGAAGCAGCAGCTGGGTGCAGGGGCGCACAGTGCGTGGCTATAATCCCAACACTCTGGGAGGCTGAGGCAGGAGTATCACAAATTCAAGCCCAGCTTGGGCAAACTTAACAACTTAGCAAGACTGTCTCAAAATACAATATATTTTTAAAAGGGCTGGGCATATAACTCAGGGCAAAGTCCTGGGTCAACTTCAGTACTGGGGGCTCGGGGCAGGGGTTCGAGGCAGTACAGGACAGTGGCTAAGAGTGCAGACACAGAGGTCACACGACAAAACAACCCAATCCCAGCAACCGTTGACAGTTACGTTATCTTGTGCATATATTTTTCTTGCCTGTAACATACAGACAACATACCAACTTTGTGAGATAACTGTGAAAATTAAATGAAATAATATGGAAAACAAAGTCAGGGTGGACCTGAGAATGACTGCTCAGAAAGAATATTAGACTCCACCCTTCTTTAATCTCCCTACCCCATTTTGACAAACGACAATGCAAGGCAAAGTGTATACTGTCACCGTCACCAACGCACACTGCCTGTAGCTGCCACTTGACTCGTCCCAGGCTCTGAAGCACACCCAAGTCATGGAGTCACCTTCTAGTCTATAAATAAGAAAGTAGGGCGCCATCAAGACTTTAAAAAACAAACACAAACCCCACACCCTTTTCATCTTTCACTCCCTGCCTTTCAGTAAAAGGAAAAAAGGAAATGAAATGAATGTACTAATACACATATGCACAGTCTTTTTCTTTTACGAGGCTAGGAAAACAGTCTTGATTATGTCTCATTTATAAATAGGGCTGCAAGACAAGCAGAAACACTGAAATGACACCCAGGGTTTGGAGGCAGATTTATTGATGGCAACGGGCACTGAGCAGGATCATTCCCCAAGTATCAGGCCCTGCTCTCTGGTGGTCTAGGGCTTATACTGGAGAGGCAAGCAGGAAGTACAGAGGCAGAATGGCTTGTCAACTGGGGACTGGTTTATACAATGTCTACCACAGTGACCAGCTGTGCATCACAGTGACTAGCCATTTCTAGGAGAAAGAAGCAACCAGAACTGCAAGAGGAACTATTACCTGGGCAACCAAGAAACTGAAGCATACTGGCTGGGGGCCATTTTCTGTTATAGGGCCTGAAATATGTTACATCACTGTCACTGTAGAAAAGCCCACACTCTTTAATTTAGAACTAACTTACCTTTTCTTTTTTTCCACAGGATGTAATAAACTCAGATAACTGAAATTCATATGGAAGTGTGCATTTTATTATAAAATATAGCCAGAGCCACAGATAATGACAGCAAATTCAATCAAAAAGAGACTGGAAAGATTCTACACACCTGATTGATCATAAGAGCAGAAAATAAAGAGAAATAAAGAGACGAGCTGCCACTTCATAAATACATATGGATGACTGTCTCAGTTACTTTTCTCGCTGCTGAGACAAAATACCCAACACCCGAAGTTAAAGGGGGAAAGGTTTATTTAGCTCACAGTCTGTAGAGGTTATGGTCTTCCCAACTGTCTGGCTCCAAGGAAGCGTGGCACATGACAGAGGGGCAACTGTTCATGGCAGCAGTAGACAGCAAGGGCAACAAGAACAAATGCAGGAGACAAGCCTCTTTCACCTCATCCAGACTGCTGGGATCAAGGAGGTGCCAGTCCCATCGGTGGACTGATCCAGCAATCACCCACCCTTAATCTCAGCACCCTTAATCCTGGCATTGAACCATGAATCAATCAGAAGCTCTAGATTTAGCTACTTCCGAAAAAGCCCCATCTAAAATGTGTGAAGCTTCGGGGGAACATCCAGACATAGACCATAACAATGACATATGAAAAGGTGTTAGTCATTCATCACTAGGTAAACACGAATTAAAAACCGTAAGATACCACTACAGGTCTACATATGTAATATATCACCTACATTAGGACAGCTAAAAGGCCAAACCTGACAATTTCTGAGAAGAATGCAGAGCAACCAGAGTTCTCACAAACTAGTGGTGGGAATCCAGACTGGACATGTACTGAAAAAAATTTGGCGTTTTTTTCTCAAGCTAAAAACACATTTCTAATAAGGTCCATAAGACCACTCCTAGGTATTTACTCACGTGAAACAAAAATTTACCTACATACATATACTTCCCCACCCTTATTTAGGACTGGGCCAAACTAGCAACAACCCAGATGTTCCTCACCAGGTAAATGAATAAAGAAACTATGGCACATATATAATACATTACAACCTGGCAACAGAGAAGTTACAAACTAATGACTTAGACAAATGCATTTTTCTATGCGAAAGAAGTCAGATCTATGAAGTATTCTGTTATATGGTTCTATTACATGCAGTTGTGGAAAAGGCTAACGAAAGGGCTGGAAAATATACCAGAGGCTGCCAGGGAGCAGAGGGAGGACAAAGCAGACTGCAACACAGCAGTTCAGGGGAATTCGGGGGCCAGGGCACTGTTGTTGGTGAATGCATGACTATGCATTTTTCAAAACCTACAGGACTCTACAGTACACAGTGAATTTTACCAAACACAAACTAAAAGCAAAAGAATAACCAGGGTGTCCAGGAGGCCAAGATGAAATGCAAACTGTGACAAATGAATCTAACCGAGGTACAAATGAGTAACACAGCAGACTGAAGGAGATATGGGAGGAAAACAATTAGACTTTGAAAAAGCGCTGGATAATATAATTTGGCTGGATAATATAAAAATGAAGGTAAAAAGAAGTATAGCTGGACACTACCGTATCTGGCAAACTCGTTTTCACAAGACTGTGCTAGCAGTTGTGTAGGTAGTGTATAACAGATACATAAGCACACTGCAGAAAATGAAAGCCAGTGTCCTTCCTATAGCAGAAACAAGTTACAGACAAGCAAAGGCAGAAGGCAGAATAGCTTCTGTGGTGTCACACCGGAGTTGGAGGCATCAGTATGAACCAATTTCTTCAATGCAGCAACAGACAGGAGACAGGAAAAATACACAAGTGCACAGTGCAGACGAGTACACACAGGTACATTTACAGTTCTGACACTTACAGGTTGAAAAGCAGGAACATCTCAGCAGCAATGACAGCAGCTGCTACTACGGGACAATGGTTTGTAACCACTGCTCTTCAGGGAAGAGGAACCTGGGTGCCCTAAAAAGTGGCTGATACATGGCTTGATTGAGCAGGGAAAATATAAATGAGCCTGGAGCATCTTGTAGAGCCAGAAATTGCTTTTTTAAAAAGGTAAGACAGTTGAAAGGACACAGAAGCAAAATTAAATGTGTTTGCAGTGGCAGGAACAACTTGAATAGCAAAATAGATAACGGTATTGGTTCTAATCCAGAGAATACTGATCAATTCACTGCAACATAAATAAGCAATTAAACTACTATTATTTCTTGTAGACTTGTAATTGATAAATGAAGAAAGAATGAAGAATAGGAAGAACACTGTCGTAATAGCTGCTGCAGGCAAGACCCACCAATAAATGCTAAAATTAGTGGCAGAAACATTAAGGAAAAATAATATTTGTTGAGTCTGAAAATGTCTTCTCCTAAGAGAAGAATATTAACTTTAGAGGGCAGAAACTGGGCAGATGCCCTCATAACTGAGCATTACCAGAAACAGGGCATGTAAATGTACTGCAGTCCCTGATAGCATGTGCTAGAAAAACACACATGACCTCTGTGGTATTTTTTCTAAAATCTCTAACCTCAACCTTATTATGAAAAAACAACAGAGAAACCCTAACTGAGTAACGTTCTGCAAAGTAACTAATCAAAGTGTTAAAGTAATGAAAGATAAGGACAGACAGTGGAGCTGTTAGAGACTGGGAGAAAGCAAGTGAACACTAAACATAACAGGATAACAAAACGTAACTAAATGTAACAGGACTCAGAAAAGGACTTGGAAAAACTAAATCTGCAGCAACTCAGTATTGCTTCCTTAGTTTTGACCAGTGTGTCCTGGTTACATAAGATGTTATCACGAAGGGAAGCCGAGTAAAAAACTTAGGAAAACTCTGCACTATGTTTACAACTTAGTTGTATATCTAAAATTACCTAAAAACCAAAACTTCTTTGAAGAAAAAAGATTAAATAAAACCACAGCCTTTATCCCTCTCTTTGAAATATGTATATTCCTTTCTTGATAGAAAACTTTGTGAATAAACTTCTTTCTCCAAAAATTTTTTACAGGACAGAAAATGATTGTACAAAGAATGTATTATTTAAAAATATTATTTAAAGCTTCTTAATAAAAGCTCCATAGAGGTCAGGTAAAGTAAGCTTTCTACATTATCTCCTGTGAGGACATCCTTGGAGGCTTATTTTCAGACTAGTCACATACATTCTAAAAGACAAAATGTACATTTAATTTAGAGAAAAAATCTGTCCGTCTTTAACACACAAAAATTTAATTTTAATGTTAACCCTCAAACCACCAATAACTCAGTATCTGATTTTTAAAGTAAAAGTTTTTATAATGACCTAGAAAAATCTAACTAACTTAAGGTTACACAGAAGAAAAAAAATCAAAGGGTGAACTTTTCTGAAGGTTTATTTTCCCTTCTTTTAAGAACAACTGAAACATAAATCAAGGAAGTTTTTTAAAAAATGTCTTAAGCTATGACTTTAGCAGTACCTTCTAATGTCATCATTTTAAAAAATTATTCATAATAAACATTATTTTACTCATAACTCTCAGTCTATCAATCAGAGAGATATTCTCCAAACTCAACCCAGTTTGTACCACAGCTAAACCCAAAATGCTAAGGCGGCCTCATCAGCATATTGAGATTTCCATCCCTTCTTCTACAACTTAATTTTATCATCTTTCATAATCAAATGTATAACCATTCAAATCCTAAATCTATAGTGACTTAAATATAAAATATATGATAGTATAAAAAGATGCAAAGTGTTTCCTTTCATATACATTTCCAGATTTCCCCCTTTAAAAATTAAACATCAAAAAAGTTTTAAATTACTTCCTAAGAACACAAGCAAAGAAAAATACCTTACACCAGTCTATTAAGAAACCAAACATATTTCTGGTTAGGCAAGACATAAAAGAGTCTGTTTTTCAAATCAAGTGGTTTTTTACAAAATGAAGATCACAGAAGCTTACTTTGTTTTTCTTGTGCTCCTTCTGCTTTTAGCCTTCCAGAAATATTCTTTTACTTAGTACAGGTTGGAAGTGCAAATCTATCTGGCACACTGTAAAATATGCTATTTTCTTCACCCAGGAGATTCTGAAATCTGCAGATGCTGAGCCTCCTATATAAAATGGTGTAGTGTTTGCTTATAACCAACACACATCCATCGTCCTATGTACTTTAAATGATCTCCAGATTACTTGTGATACCTACTATATTGTAAATGAGATGTCAGGAGTTATTATACTGTATTGTTTGGAGAATAATCACAAGAAAATTAAGTTTGTACAATTCTTTTTGCAAATGTTGTTGATTCAAGGTTGGTTCAATCTGCCAGTGCAAAATTCAAGGGGACAGAGAAATAAGTGGTTGAATTCAAATCTCAGGGAGAAACATAATTCCAACTTTAACCACCAAATGTAGTTTTATATTAGAATATTCTCATTAAACACTTCACATGCTGTATACTGCTTATTTTACTAAGACAGATATAAAGAACACATAATCATTACGCTGTTTAAATTTACTAGGAAAGATGAAATATAATTAATTTGTGAGACTAATTTTCATTTATATTTTTAGATTAGGGATTATTTATTTACTTTGCAGTACTGTACTGATAACTGAACCTAGGGCCTCTATAGGGAGCTACATCCTGAGAATATTTTTTTAAGAACAGGAATAAGACAGCCTTTACCACATAAATTTTTATTTTTAAAAGTCTAAACCAAGTGAAGCGTTCTACTTAGAAATGAACACTTAGCATGTAACTGCTCACAACACTACGTTTTACTTTTGAAGTCAATTACTCCTGAAACCTTATACCTCCTCTAAGAAGTCACACACATCTTTCCCTTTGGAATGTTAAGCCTGGTGTAGGTCCACATATATGTATATTTGAATTTCTCATTAGCTCTATATGACAGCTCATTGGCAGTTAACATCAGCTATCATTTCATATACTATTAACTACACAGCAGATGAGACTCCTAAAAAAAGAATCAACAAACTTCTAAAGGGCCAGATTGAGCTTGAGAGCTACACAGACACTGTTGCAACTAATGACCCCCGCCGTTATGGTGCTGTGGAAGTATAGTTGATAAGTAATGACTGGGTTGTGGCAAATTCAGCTTTATTTAATACACAGGTGGCCATGCTGTGGGCCACAGTTTGCTAACTTCACTCTGGGCAAACACATTTGAGTTTTCAATATATAACATCTTCAGTGAATTATGCTTCCCTCGCATCTGGTAGTTTCTACAAGAAACATTAGCTATTTAAACAGTACAGGAACCATGAACATATCTTCTTAGGTCAGAATCTCCAGTCAGAATGGGACATTAAAATGTGTTAATAAAGCACACATTAAAATATAAGTGAAAATGTAAGGGGATGATTACATTTTATTAAATAATCTTACCTTAATCAAATGAAAGAATCTAAAGCCTAGCACATTTCTGGCTTCAGTTCAAAATGTACTTGAAACAAAACTTCAGTGTCTTGTTAAATTCCTAGAAAAACAAAATTTTTAAAAAGCCTTTTCAAGATCCAGTGGCAGATAAAATAGAGCAATCACACTGCAAAGTGTCTCTCAAGTGAATGCAGCTAGAAGGCTCGCAATAGCTCTGACAAGGAAGCAGCAGGCAGGCTGAAGGAAGCCCAGGACCTGAAATACCACCTAAGCCATGATGGCTGCCATTCTGTTCCCTCCTGGTGTCTCCTAGCATTCACACAGCGTGGAAATCTCCCCCATCTCTCCTCTCCATTCTCAGCTCAGCCACCACTGGCAGCCATGTCAATTCTGCAGGTCATTCTGGAGCCCAAAACTGTGAGGGAGAGGAACGTTCCTCTTTGGTAAGAGGAGTTATGGTCTCAAAAACATACAGCACATCTCTACTGCTTTTTGCTCTCTCTGTCCTCCAGCCACTTGGCCCAGGAGATGGGCATAGCAGAATGTGTGTATCATATACAGGGACAAGTAAAGTCCCATCCTTCTGATTAAAGAATGGAATAGAGGAGCTCCAGGAAATCAGAGATGACTGGGAGATCACAGACTTGGACAGCAACACCTCAAAGTTGTTCTTTTAACTCCTCGACTCCCCCTCACATGGCACATGAGTGGGCGCACACAAGCTGTGAGAACTGATCTATGGGACAGACAACCTCCCAAGTTCCACACTGGTGACGGATGGTGCACACACAGGACAGAGCCACACTGCACAGCCAAAGCTTTGAAAAATGAACTGATGATATGGCCAAAACCCATAGGAACTTGCAACTGGAGCATAGCTGGGCTGACTACCTACTAAAATAAATATGACAATATTCTATGTTGGATTTAGATGACACCTAAAGTCTCATATCGTGGAGTCAGATACCAAGGATATAACCCAAAACTGCTAGGTATACAAGGAACCAGGAACATCTCAATTTGCAATGGTAAAAGTGCCAATACCAAGAAAAACCGATTCTGGAAAGTACCTGACAATGATATTAAAGTAATACAGAGTAATACAGAATGCTTCAACAAATAAGAGCAAACAACCCTTCAAACAAATGAAAAGACGGAAGACTTAGAAAAGAAATGGAAGACATAAGGAAAAACCAAGAAAACTTTGCAAGTGGAAAAATAACCAAAATAAAAGCTCATTAAAAATGAGCTCAGTAATATGAGATGACCGATGAAAACAACTCTGGGAACCCACTACACACAAATAGAAATTGTCCGATCTGAACAAGGACAAAAAGTTAGGGAAACATAAACAAACTTTATTTATTATACTCAACTATTAGCAAGAAAGAAAGAGTAAGTGTAAATTTAAAGAGTTTCACATAAATTTAAAAGTTTTTAAAAAAATTTCCTACATTTATGGAAAGAGATAAAGTTCTACCTAAACTATCTAACAAGTTCAGCAAATGCCCAAATAGGATAAATACAAAGAAATACAAGCCCAGACATATCAAAATTAAATTTTAGATATATAATTAAACAGAAGAGGGAAAAATCCTAAAAGCAACCAGAAAAATTTAGCATTACTTTTAGAGGATCAATGTTTATATGACTATAGATTGATTTTCAGAAATCATGAAAGCCAGCAGAAGTTAAAAATATATTTTAAATACTGAAAGAAAATAACTGTTGATGCAGATTTCTATATCTATCAAAAATGTTGAGATAAAAGTGAAATAAAGACACTTGCAGATGAAGGAAAACCAAAAGAACAACACCACAATTGCTTTGAAAGTATGGCTAAAGGAAATTCCTGAAAAAGAATTTGATAACAGAAGGAAAACCTGAAATATCAGGAATGCAGGAAGAACAACAGAATGTTATATATCTCTGCAAATATATCAGATTTTCCTTAACTTCTTGAGTTCTTTAACATTTGTTTATAGTTAAAGGGAAGAAGTATCACATATGCTAGTAGGCTTTCAATGTGTAAATCATAATATGTGCATGTTATACACTTGACTTACTGTATCTACAGATTCTGCAATGGCAAATTCAATCCACTAAGTATTGAATGCAGCTAAAGGTGTACTCAGAGGATAATTCATAGTATTAAAAATCATTTACACGAAAAAAAATTCTAAAATTAGTTATTCATGCTTCCATCTTAAGAAACCAGAAAAAAAGACGTAAACACAAAGCAAGGAGAAGAATGAAATGATAAAGAGCAGAAATTAAAAAGAATGAATAAAACGAAACCAGTACAGATCAATATAAACAATACTAGTTTTCCTCGCAAGGCTGTCAGAGACAACAAGGGAGAAAACACAAATTCTCTGTATTGGTATAGTGAGAACATTCCGTTCCAGACCCCACAAACATTTAAAGGGCATCAAGGATGTACCGTGAACACCTCCACGCACCTTTATCCAACAACTCAGACTAAAGGGACTAACTCCCTGAAGCCACAGAGTGCCATTATGCATTCAGGAGAGAAGCCCCATAGTTCTCTACAAAATATGTTGTACCTACAGATAAAACCTTAAGAAAAGAAATCTGCAGGTCCAGATGGTTTTACTAATGAAACATATATACAGTAACACCAGACTGACAAGATTGGTAAGGGAAAAATATTACTGCTATTTGTAAATAATGACTATTTATATAGACAATTTCAAGGAAAACACGCACACACACACACACACACACACACACACACCCTCTTGGAACTAATAAGTAAGTTTCATAAGGTCAATGAAAACAAAGGCAATGTCAGTCACATTTCTAAATACTGGCAATTTGGAACCATAAAAAATTTAAAATCATACTATTGAAAACAGCTCCATAAAAATGAAATAGAGATAAATCTAAAACATATAGGGTCTATATGCTAAAAAACAAAAAAACAAAAAAACAAAATCTTGATGAATTAAGTCAGAGAAGATCTAAATATGCAGACATACCGTATTCGCATACTGGAAAATTCAACATAGGTAAAAGACGTTAATTCTCCCCAGACTGGTCTACAGATGCAATGCAACTCTAATCAAAATCCCAGGATTCTGTAGTTATAGACAAGCTTACTCTAAGGTTAATACAGAAAGACAAAAGAACTAGAGTAGCCAACATTATTTAAAAAGTAAAATAAAATTGGAGGAATTACACTGTCTAATTTTAAGGTTTTAAGCTGCTTATCAAGGCAGTGTACCTGTGAAAGTACTGACACACAAATCAATGGAACGGAACTGCGTCCAGAGCCTGCCCCATAAGCGTGGCCAGCTGCTTTCTGACACAGGGGCAGGGGCAACACAATGAGGAGAGGTCAGTCTTGTCATCACAAGTGTTGGAACTAATGAGCACCTGTATGCATGCAAAGAAAGAAAAAGAAAAGAAGAGAAAAGAAAAGAAATTTGACCTGAACTTCTCACGTCATACAAAAAATTAACTCAAAATGGATCATAAACCTAAATACAAAAAAATAAAGGTTCTACAAAAACAGAGGACAAAAGCTTTGTGACTTGAAACCATGCAAAGAATTACTGTGTTACCACAACACAATCTATAAACTAAGAAGTAATAAATTAGATTTTATTTGTTAAACACTAAAAGTGAAAAAAAAACCCAAATGTATGGATATGCTTTCACACCATCATAAAGTGGAAAAATTATCAAAATCATCATAAACTGGGGACTATTAGTATGGATTATAAAGAATGGAAAAAATTATATATATGTGTGCATGTGTATTTTACATATTTCCTTCACAAAAATATACCCCATCTATAATATGAAACAATCTTTCCACCCCTTTGAGTGTGAACTGAAACTAGCAACTTATTTCCAAATCACGGAACCAAACAGCAACTCATTTCCCCAGGACAGTAAAAGACAAAAACACTCATGCTGCAGTGGAGAAACCGGGAAATACTACCTTACTCAAGTGATGACATCCTCACCCATCCCCTGCAAAGTGAGAAGGGCACTTCATTTTGTTATTATTCTCTAAAAGCCATGCCCTCTGTCTAACCACAAGGAAAAATATCACAAATGCAAACTGAGAGACATTTTACAACGTATCTCGTTAGTACTCAAAACTGCCAAGATGATGAGAAACAAGGAAAGGCTGAGAAATGTCACAGTGAGGAGACGTGACACATGCAGCGTGGAACCCTGGACTGGTGCCTGGGACAGAAGGAAACTACGGGGAAGTCTGGAGCAATTTCGGTTTGGGATCTGGAGTAGTAGTGATGTCGGCCTCTCAATTTTTATACATGCACTTGGTTTTGGTTCTGTAAAATGTTAACATTATGGAAAACTGAAGGAGGGGTATACTGGAACTCTCTGAAGTGCCTCTGTGACCACTCCATAAAATCATTTCAAAATTAAAGTATTTTTAAAAAATGGGCCAGAGACTTGCACAGACCCATCACTAAAAAGAATATACTGTATGTAGGACAAAAGGGCATACAAGATGTTTACCTATTTGGAAAATACAGCTAGAAGCATTATCAGATACCACTAAAAATTGATTAGTATGGCAAAAATTAAAGACTGACTATACCAAGCACTGCCAAGTTACGCAGAACAACTAACACACTCATATACTGCTGATGGTGGTACAAAATGGTAAGGCCATTTCAGAAAATGGTTTGGCATCTCTTATGAAGTTAAATATGCACTTACCCCATGACCCAGCAATCCCATCCCTGTGTATTTTTATCCAAGAGACAAAAGCCTACTTGTTAATGCTTGTATAACAATACTGTACGCGGAATAGCCAAAAACAGCAAGCTAAATGTTCTTCAGTTAATAAACGTATAAACAGTGGCACATCTATACAACTAAACACTACTCAGCAATCAAATGGACCCACAGAACCACGTACACCACTAAGGGCCCCAGGCTGGGTAAATGCGTGTGCTCCATGCTACAAACTCCACTTACTGATCATTTCTGTAGCACCTAGAGTAAAAGGACAGTGTGGCTTCCAGTGAAGGGAGCCAGGAATGGTGCACCTGCACATGGACGGCACAAAGAAGATTGTGAGCCAACAGAATTGTT